ATCTCTTATATCAAAATTAAGACCACTTAGAAACCTAGCAATGGTCAATCTTTCTTCTTCCCTTATCCCAGCCCTCATTAGATATAACTCCATCTTTTGCCTATACTCCTCCACACTCATGTTCTTTTGTTGGAGTCTTTGGAGCTTATCCATAAGCTCCCTACTATAATAAGAAGGAATGTGCCTTCTTCTCATAGCACTCCTCAAATCATTCCAATAGGTTATAGGAGGATCATTATGAAGTCGCCTTTCTCTTACCAAGGTTGTCCACCAATACATAGCTTGTCCTTGGAAAGCTAAGATGGCTAAGGGAACTTTTCTTTCCTCACCTACTTGATGACAAGTGAATATTTGCTCCACTTTCATTTCCCAGTCCAAGTAGGCATCTACATCTTCTTTTCCATAAAAGTAAGGGAGATCAACTCTTGATTCCCTAACCTTGGGTTCCTTAATGACTCTTCTAGGTATGGGTTGGTAATATTCATCTACATTCAAACTACCCACATCCTCTTGGCTTGTGGAGCCATTGGAACTTTTAGTAGGACTTTTTTTACTCTTTTTCTTATCAAGTTTTTCTAAAAGTCTTGCTTCTTGTTGCTTAATTTTGTTTATCTCTTCCCCAAGAGCAAAAAGTTGTACTTCTCTTTCAATCTTTTCTCTTTCTTTTGGAAGTACCTCTTGTTGTCTCCATAGTTTTAGTGCCTTAACCTCCTTAACAATTTGAGAAAAACTTTTAGGAGATTCAAGATCACTATCACTTTGAGAAATATGACTCATGATTAAGCAATAAGAAGTTTATATGCTATGCAAAAGAAACAAAATATTTTTGATCTTTTCTAGGAACAAAAATAACACTTGGAAGTCTAAGTGTACAAATTGCACTATCAAGGGAGGTGAGCTACTAAGAGTCACTTAATAACCAAGCCTTTTCAAGTGGAAATCACTAAACTCCCTTATGATATTTTCAATTCCACAAAACTTTTCACAAAATTTTTTTATGTTGAATGCTTTTCACAATTGTTTTTTTTTTAAGATAACTAAACGTGAACAAGTAACTCTACACAATGCTAGTCAAAATAAGGTAGAAAATTAAACAATTTAAAGAACAAACAACTCAAAGGAAGCAAGTTTAAGTAACTAGTCGTTTTGCCCTAAGTGGAAGCTTGAAACATATGAAATTTCCAAGCCACTTCCATTAGTACTACACGTGAGTGAGCTACCACGGGTTAGATATACCTGACCAACTTCTTAACACTCCCTCCAAGCTTTACAAAATGATTGAAAATACAAGAGAAATTGCAAAATTTAAACTACACTAAAAACAAATTTTGTGGCGGCTTTAGTAACGAATTAGTGACGTATTTGTTGTCCAAGTTTTTCAACACTTGTTTAAGTGTTCCAATCCGCCACTAATCCTTGTTTATTGTTGCTCCTGGACCCTGCACAAATAACACAACAAAGTAATGAATGTAGGTTTCTCACAAGGTAGATGGAAAGATCACTCTTGTGAAGGTAGGTTTAGGAATTTTCGGTCACTAAATTAGGTCAAGATTTCAAGTCTTTTTATGTCCAATTCCTTTCCTACTATTGTTGAGTCAATGTTTGGTCCTTAAACAAGGATTTGAGGCCACTTCCGGCACAGAATTTTTAGTCAAAGAAAACTAGACAAGCAACAAAAGCACAATTTAACAAGCTTATACTAAAAATTGAAGAGTAAAGTGTTTAAGACAAGACTCAAAGATATCCAAAAATGAAAGCTGAAAATTAAGACTCCAAAGAAAGCTAGCACACAATTAGGAAAGTTCCTAGATAGGCACTAGAGTAGATTAACAAATTAAAAAGAATTTGGAAGAAATTGAACAAGTAGAAACAAACTAGTAGTCCAATTAATTTGTTGAATCAAGTGTATTTTTCTTTAATTGTTCTTCTCGGCTTTTCCTTGCTCATACATATATATATATATATATATATATATATATTTAATTCTTTTCTTGTTCTAAATTCAAATATATTTTCCAGAGAAGATACTTGCCTTTTGATTTCAAATTTTTCACAATTCCAAAGTATAGAAACCGGATCTACTAGAATGAAGAATTTCAAGTGAAAATTGAAGAACTAGTGCACTAGTTTTTAAACTTTTTGGTTGGATTCTTTTGTTTTTTTTTAACTATTTTGAATTATTTTGCTCTGTATTTTCCCTGTTTTCCAGCAAGCAAGCTTTTAAAATTTGAATCCAAAACATTTAGTGCACTATAAGTAAGATGATTCACTTAAAATTTTCAAGTTACAAAAGGTTGATTCAAGAGTAATATGGAAAGTAATTTGAAAACTCAAGTACACAAAGGAAACCTAACACTAAGAGTTCACCAATGATCTAGTGATGAACATGAACTCAAATATGTAAATGAAAAAGCAAACAAGCAAGGCACAATTAAAATAAAACAAGTCTCGACCAAAACTCTAAAGAACTCAAAAAAATTTTAGCACATGAATACAAGCATATCTTGAATATTTTTGACATTTTTAAAGGACTAACATGACTTGACAAAACTAAGATTCAAAAACAAAATCGAAACACATGCAATTCAAAGAGATAGCCGAATCAAAACAATGAAATAAAAGTGACTCAAACAAAATCAAAAACTAAGCACAAGTTGATTCCTAATTTTATTGATTGCGGATTGAAACTCAAGGTGCAATCAACAATTTGGATCTATAGAACAATTTGATTTCAAAAAAATATAGATCCAAAATAGAAACTCAATTTGTGACAATCCACAATACAAGAACATAAAGACAATAGGTCAAAATCAAGAACACTTATCTCCAATGAAGAAACCTTGCTCTAGATACCAAAATTGATGGAGAAGACTAGGAGAAATGATGGATGAACTTCTCCTTGCATTCACCAAGCATAGGATCAACTCCTTGGAGATTTAGACCGAATGGATGAAGCTTGAATTGAAGGAAGATTTCGGATTAAGGTAGCCTAAACCAAAGATGGAAACATCCAAGCTTAAGCAACAAGAGATTGCTCACTTCAATGGTAGGAAACTAAGCAAGGTTCCTAGGGTTTGAAGGCACTCTCTCTCTCGGTGACTCTTGAAAAATTTGGCTGAAGATAATGTTTAGAAATTCAATATATCAAAAGTGAATACAAGATGCTAGGAGGGAAGCTTTTATAAGACCGGATTTAGGAAGCACTTGGCGCCAATGTGGAGGCTTCACATGTGGCACCAAGATTTGAATTCAAATTTGAATTTTGAATTCAAATCTTAACCCACATGTGCATCACTGGATTCCAAGGGGCTGAATGCATCTAGGTTTGATTTAATTTGCATTTAGGGTTGAATTTGAGTCACACATGTTCAGCCAAGGTGGTACCAACCATGTGACTCAAAATGCAACTTAAATGCAAGCTAAATTAGACCTAGTTTTGCCTAATCCTCTTAATCAAGTATTCCTCCCTAATTCCTATACTAATGACCTAAATACAATGGTCAATTTAATACAATGAATAGGAAAAATTACAAGAATGAAAATGAGCCCAATATTGGGTGTCAAAAGCCCAATTCAAGGCCCTATAAGCCCAAAGCTTACAATTCCTAATCTATGGTCCAAAATACAAGACCAAAACAAAGTAAATTCCTATTCTATGAATATGCAATAAAAAGTGGTGTCAAACAAGTAAAGCCCAAGTGAGGAGCACCCTAGGCCCACCAAGCCCATTGGGCCCACTAAGCTCTGAAGCAGTCAAGTCTTCAAGTAATTTCCTGGCCATTGCTCTAGTGGTTGGACCCTTGGTCCATGCTCTTCCATCAGTGGTGATATATTCTTTTAAAAGATTGAAATTTAATATAAAATAAAAATAGGAAGAATAAACTAAAAGATATAAAAATTTAAGAAAATTTTCTAAAAATGACATCATTAAAGAAAAATAGTTAATATCACTTTCATTCAAAAAATAGTCTCTAAAAATTACTTTTGTTTAAAAAATGATTATTATTGATAATCTATTTAAAATATTATCAAACTAAATTTAAAGATGAAAATTTGTTAAGATATATTATTAAGGTTTAAATATGTTTTTAATCATTTAAACTTAAAATTAATTTTTTTTATCTTTTAATTTAAAAAATTTTAATTTTAAATTTTATACTCAAATTTTGTTAAAGAATTTATCTAATATTAACATATAAAAGACGACTTGAAGAATTAAAATATATTTTTTTAAAAAGTTATAAAATTAAAAAAATGAATTTTTAATTCAAGAAATAAAAAATAAATTTATTTTCAATTTAAAAAGTTAAAAATATATTTAAATATATTATTAAATACAAAAATTTAAGAAAAATGGTTAAAAATATTCTCATGATCAAAGAATGAGACCTAAATCACTTTGATTAAATTAGGATAATTTAATATACACGAATGAATTTATATCATATTCTTTTTTTTTAATGTAAAATGCAACACTATGAAAATATTATTTAATTTATTATCATATAATGTACAAAACAACATGTAGGTTAAATTACCGTAAAAAAATCATGTAGGTTAAATTATCGTAAAAAAATCATGTAGGTTAAATTTTATCTTACTTTTATCATATTTTTCATTTTCTATTTTTTTACAATAATATATTCTATCTTATTCTTATATTTTTAAGTTTAAATATATTTTTATATTCATAATTTTTTTTCAATATTAATTTGTAGTTCTCAAACAAATTTTATTTAATTTTAATTTTAAAATAAATAGTTTTAAAGAAATTTTACAGAAAAAAAATTGATGAAAAAATTCAAAATATTAATAAAATATTAACGACTAAAAGTGAAAATAATTTTTTTTAAGAATTATATCAAATAAAAAAGTTGATCAAAGACTTAAAAATAAAAGTTTAAAAAAAATAAAAATTCATCAACTAAAAGTATATTTAATCCTAAATCTTTATTTATTTATTTTTTTTATCATATCTTCAATAACTAACGGTAATACAAATAATATTGCCTCTTTAACAGTGGCTGGCTTCCATCTTCAACCCTGGTGCGTGCTCTTTAGGGTTGTGCACATAAACGGCGGTGTCGTTTTCTGTCTCCACTTGTATACCATAGCCTCTTAAACCCTTGTTTTAAGGTTCAGTTGTGCGTTTTCCTCTTTTTCAGCACATCGCATAACAGCGTCAATGGTGAAACACTACAGGCCCCCGGTGAGTACACAACACGGGTTTCGATTTATCTGCTGAAACCGTGTTACTTCGTTTTATTTTAGCTTTTTTTCGTTTTTGTCTTTTGGTTGATACGATGTGGGGACTATGTGTTGGATATGGGAAAATTTGGAATACTAATGTCTCTGTTGCTGCTATTCATTTGTAATGATGAATTAGGAGGAAAAGAAAGTTAATCCTTTTCTTTGTATTCACTGTTGTACTTGTAGGTGTAGAGTTTTAAGTGTTTTAAGAGCTTGTTGTTGTTGTTTTGTGTTGCAGGGGAAGAAAAAGGAGGGAAATGCTGCCAAGTTTGTCATTAGGTCACAAGCACTCAAGCAGCTTCAAATCAGTCTACCCCTTTTCAGGTACCACGCTGAAAGAAACAAATGCTCGTACATAAATCAATTTAAGGGACTTTGTTGGATCAACTATGTTCTTCAATACTTGTGAAGGAAAAGGGTGGTACTTTAGGTTAAAAATTGCTTGGTTGAATCATATATAACTTTTGTCATTACTGATCTGATGTTGTTTGGAAATTGCATATCTTTAGTGACTTTGAAACATTTTGGAAGTGAAAGTTTGGTAAAGTGACTTTGATTCTAATATTTGCTTTTACAAATTTAGGAAACTATGCATTTTGAAAGGTGTAACTCCTCGAGAGCCTAAGAAAAAGTTCAAGGGAACTCATCAGACTTATTACCATGTGAAGGATATTGCCTTTCTTCATCACGAGCCTTTGGTTGAAATACATAGAGCGATAAGAGTGCATGAGAGAAAAATAAAGAAGGCAGAGGCTAAGAAAAATCATGAACGTGCAAATAGGTTGCGGGAGAAAACACCCAAACCCAAGATAGATAGGATTATTCGGCAGAGGTTCGTTTGAGTTTGTTGATTTCAATTTATGTTGTGTAACTGATGATAAATTTCCAATTTAATTGATTATTCTTTGGATTTATAGGTATCCAAGATTTGTTGATGCACTTGGGGAATTGGATGACTGCCTTACAATGGTGCACCTTTTTGCAGCATTACCTGCATCAGAGGGTAAAAAAATTGAAGTGGAGAGTGTCCACAAATGTCGAAGGTATATATTTGGAATTTGAATAACTTTGGATTCATATGTAATGAGGAAACCAGCCTTTGTCGCTTTTCTTTTGAAAAATATGAGATTTTCATGCTGATATGATTTTTATCTTATGTATCTATTGTTATTTGTTTGCTAGATTGGCACATGAATGGCAAGCATTCATATCTCGCACTCACAAGTTAAGAAAAACATTCGTATCTGTGAAAGGCATATATTACCAGGTACCAATTCTTGCACCTGTAAATGTTCAGTAATCTTAATTGCACATGTCATGTGAATGTAAATGTTATGGATTGATTTTGTTGTGTGCAGGCTGAGGTTGAGGGTCAGACAATAACATGGTTAACTCCTCATTCACTACAACAGGTTGTATCAGATGATGTCGACATCATTACCATGCTAAACTTTCTGCAATTGTATGAGGTTAGTTTCTTATTCATGCCTGTACTTAGTGTCTTCATTTTGCTCAGCCATCAATATTATTTTCATCCCAATTAACAGCATTATAGGTCTGTATGTTTTAATCATGTAAATATTTAATTTAAATAATTTTTATGGTGTTAGGATCACGTGTAAACCAAATTTAGCTACCTAACTCCCCCTGGTTGTCTTGTTGGACATGCATATCCTAATCCTTCATATTCATCCTTATTTATTTATTTGGTTTTTCTGACAGACATTAATTTCTTAATTTTCTATAATGATACAGCCTCTTCTTAGTTTTGTCAATTTTCGCCTCTATCATTCTATAAATTTGAAGTATCCCCCAATACTTGATCCTCGGTTGGAGGCTTTGGCAGCAGGTACTGTTTCTCTCAACTCAAATTGAACTTTAGAAACTTCATTTGCTGCAGATATTTTATGTATCTGGACATTAAATTCCTTTTCATATCATGCAGATCTATATGCATTGTCAAGGTATGTCAGTGGCAATACCAGACCCTCTATAGTAAATTCTGAAGCCTCTCAATCTGAACCTGCACAAATCGAGACCAAGAAAAATGAGGCAGAGACTGGAACTGAAAAATCTGAACTAAGACTTGCTCAACTTCAGCATCAACTTCCTTCTAATGAACCGGGTGCGCTTATGCACCTTGTTGAGGAAGTTACTGGTGAAGATGAAGAGGATCAAGATACAAAAGAATGTAAAAATCTCTTTAAAACTATGAAATTCTTCTTGAGCAGGGAGGTAAGATCTTTCGATGGTTTTAGCCCTACATTTTAAAGTAGTTTCTGTCAAAACTTTGGGAATTTGAACACTTATATTTGCTGAGTCACATTTTATGTTTCTTTCAAAAGATTTAGAATGTGAAAACTATTCTCATTTAAATGAGAATGTGGGTCACATATCTATAATGGCAACAATTGTCTTTTCATTTTAATTTTTAAGAAAGCAAGAATTATAGATTAGGATCATACAACCATACATGATCAACATTAAAAGTTTTTTTTTTATTTTTTTTTATCACATTATCATTTAAAAAGTTCATGTATATTTATCTTTTGATTTTAACCATTCAAATCAAGATCCAATGGTCTATATTCATTTTTCTCATTTCTTACAATAACCAAGTTTCTCACCTGAGTCATTCCCTATATATATTTTCAATAAAACAGTTGATGGGTATTGTCAAAATATGTTTGAATTTGTCTTAGAACATGAATTTCTACTGTTGTTGAGTTTCTGCTAGATGTTATTGGATAATATGTAAACATTTTCTTAAAAAAGCAATTAGCGTTGGGTCAAATTGCTCCAATCTTTAAGATTTGATATTGTTGATTGCAAGATCTTTGGATTGATTCTTACTAGTGGACTTTTAGTATTTAGGGTTTAGGGTTGGTACCCAATGTAAACCCTTGTTAAAAGCTTTTGGCATGCCCGACCTTAGAATGTGGCAACCTCCTCTCTCCCTATACTTGTTTGTACCAATAAAAAAATTCCTTTAAGGAGAAGCACCTTATTTTGGTAGAAACCATGGAGATATCTGTCAAATTACTACTTGACATAGATAATTTATTCTTTTTCAATGCTGTTTAAATGTTGAATTTATTGTTATTTATAGTGATGTTGTGTACTGTTGTGTTGCTACATGAACAATTTGTAGAAATTTGCAGCTTATATCGTTAAGATTGATGTCACATGCATGTGTGCGCATATAACACATCTTCTTGGTCTTTTCTCAAAAACAAATTTTCCTTATTTTAACTTTAGGTTAAATTTTTTGAAAAGTTTCTCTCGGTTGTGTATGTTTTGACATATTTGCATATGTTTTGGTTTAATTAATCAGGTACCAAGGGAATCATTGCTTTTTGTTATTCCTGCTTTTGGTGGTGTAGTTTCTTGGGAGGGAGAGGGGGCACCTTTTGGGGAGTCTGACCAGAGCATTACTCATCAGGTTTGTGATTAAGCATACCTTCTTCTAGGTGTCCTTACATTTTATACATTCCTTTTAGTTTCACTTATCTATTTCTTTCATATGTTTAGATTGTTGACAGGGAATCACAAGGACATAGGTTCCTCTCAAGAGAATATGTTCAACCACAGTGGGTATATGACTGTGTGAATGCACGAATTATTTTGCCAACGGAGAATTATTTGGTGGGAAGGTAACTAGTCCAATTGTGTTTCTTTAATAGTTACTGTTTGGTGTTTATTGTGGTAATTTACAATTTCTCTCGTACAATGTTGACAGTGTTAATATTATTACTTGTCAGAAAGCTAATTTCTGTGCCTCTGTCTTTGGTAATTGAATTTGCATTATCTATGCCTCTTGTTTGGTTTTTGGGTTTGTCGGGGCTCTTAAGAGTTTGTAGTGGACTAGTTAGTAATGTACTATTTTATTTGTCTGAGCGAATTAATTTTTCTACAATAAATCATGATATCTTTCTGCGGGATCATCCTATTCTACTTGATATAGGACTTAGGCACCCCATAAGACCATAATACTCAAGTTCCTATCATAGCACAGCCCTTAAGAGCTGACACCAATTGTTAAGTACCCAAGCACTTGGCGAACTCTCCTTTAAAAGCTAGCTGTTATGGGGGGAGAACTAAGCCACTTAAATACTTCCACTGAACATCCCCCACACATGGGACTTGGGCACCCCATAATACCAAGTCCTTACACTTCCATAGGCCATACATATATACATGCATACAAAAGTGTGTTACGTTTAAAGAAAAATGTGTATGGTATGCCAGGGAAAGCCTATTTGATTTTAATGATAACTTTCATGGCTAAAACGATTCTTTTTGTCAACAGGATTCCACCACCACACTTGTCACCTTTTGTTGACTATGACGGAGAAGAAGCGTACATTCCTGACTATGCAAAGACCATTAAGCACTTGCAAGCTGCTGCCAGAAAGGAAGTCCTTCTTCTTCCAGGTGTTGGGAAGGAAGATCTGGAAGATCCTCAAAATCTTCTGGTTGAAGGTATTATCAATCGAGCAGAGGCTAATGATGCAGCTCTGAGAAAGCAGAAGGTATGCATATTGTGATAAAGGTTGCATCTTAATAGCGGCATGAGGGAAGGGGATCCCTTTATGTTAACTCTGATACTCAAGTATTCTACATTTGAATGATTTGCATTGCAGATGATGATTCTGGAGCAGCAATACCATGATGATTTGAAAAAAGAACTTCAAGGTGTTGAACATACTTCAGCAGGTTCTAAAGAAACATCTACTGGAGTGGTACAGACTGGAGAATCAACTACCATTGTTCAAGAAAATGATGATGACATGGGTAAACTTATGATGTCACGTAAAAAGAGGAAGTTATTGGAAGCCATGCAGGTAATATTTTTTTTATCCTCCTTATGCCGATTCTGAGTTAATTCATCGCAGTGCTTTGCCGGCGTATAATTTTTTTCCCTCTAATTATCTGCTGAATTTCAATTTATAAAATTACTATCACTATTCTATCTAAGTAATAGTCCTGATATAACCAGTTGCAAAGTGACATTGTCTTTAAACTTATTAGGTGAACTTGGTAGGGTGTGTCTTTTTCAATCCTGATTTTTTTTTTGTTGAAAATCTGTTGTTCAGATATCTAATAAACGCAAGCAAGCTCAGCATGACCTCATTAAACAACGGAAAAAGAAAATAGAGGAAGCTCAGAGTCAGAGGAGTTGAAGAATTCTGCATTGAAGAAGGCTAGCTCATTTTTGTTGTTTGCGACGAGTAAAGGCAGTTGAACTTATTCTGTCGTTCTTTCTGTTGTGTAACTGATATTCTTCAAGGTCAAAAGAAAAATTCATTTAAGTACCGGAAGTTTTTATGACTGATATCTTTGTGTGAGACTAAGGGTATGTTTGGTCAAAGAGGAAAGGGTAGGAAAGAGTTAGAAATTCAGTTTAGTTAGGAAAAAAGAAGAGCTGAGGGATTTTAATTGGACGGGATGGGTAATTTTCTTGTTTGATTTACAAGATGAGGAGAGATCTTTAAAATTAAATTATCTTTGTACCCTTAAGATTTTGAATTTTCAAATATATGGATATTTTAGATATATTTACATTGATTTTATTCTCTTTTCCTTACTTTCAAAATATTCTAATATTGAAGAGAAATTAAAATTAAACGAAGAGTTTTGTTTCTTTTCATTTTTCTTTATTTTTAAATATTGAACTATAGCAAAAAAATCATTAAAAAAATTGTTTTTCCAATCAAACATTGATAGATTAAATTGGTAAAGAGACTAGAGGTGTTTAAAATTAAACTAAATTAAAATTTTCTAAATGGTTTCAAAATTAAAAATTAATCAAACTGATAATCGAAAACTGAGAAATAATCGTATTTTTTATTTGTGCTTTGGTTCCTATTCATAAATAAATATACTGACTTTCTCTTAGGATGGCAAAACAGGTTACCCTGTCCTCCTTAAACCTGGCCTACCACCAACTTTGCAAAAAAAAAAACTAGTCTGGTCGGCCTGCTAAACAAAAACAAGTTGGATGTGTTGGTTTGTACTACCCAAGATCGAGTTAGTGGGCTAGTCTGCCAAAAACATTAAGAAAAATTAAAAAACAATAAAAGGAGAAAAAAAAACTATAGTTTTGTATATTAACTTTAAGTATCTCTTTTAATATATTTCTTTTTCAATATTTGAAGAATTCACATAAATTAATGTACTTAAATAATATATATATATATATATATATATATATATATATA